CATGCCTGCGCCCCTGGTTCTGAATACAGTACAGGCAAATAAACACTGAGGAAAAAACATACAGACAAATAAACAGAAGTGATGGCCTGGGGGTGTGGTGGTTAAGGTGCTGGACTCCCACATGGCTGACCACAGTTTGAGTCCCAGACCTGGTGGCTTGCTTTCTTACTTTCCCTCTCTCCTCCTCTCTCCAGTCAAATTAAAAAACAGTAATAAATAAAATTAAATAATTCTTTAAAAAAGAAAATTGACAGTCTGAGGGAAATACTTTATAAGCCCAAATTCAAGTGTTTAAACTGAGCCCCACCATGTCCACAGCAGCCCTCTGCTGCAGGGATTTGTACCGTGTCTGTGACTGGAGAAAGGAAACACTGCACTGCCTCACCACCTCTAGTGTGTAGGAACTACAGAAAACAGGGCATTTAACGACTACAAAACCAAGGACATAGTGGAAGCCGGGTGGACATGTCCTGGAGAACATGGGTCAAAGTCACGTTGAAGAATGTATCACCAGCTTATTTTAATTTGTTCAAAAGTTGGGTCATACCCTGTTTCCCACTCTACCATTGAACAGAGAAAAGTTTTCATTCATAAAACTTTAAGTCTGAAAACTAGAAATAGCCTTGGCCCTAATGCCTCTCCTTCCCTTCCAGCTTTAGTCTTATCCACTTCATTTCCTACTTTCCTTCCACTGGAGCCATCTGGCAAAGATCATGTGCCTGAAAGGGCTTCTCTCCCTATTTCTGAACATTGCAGAAAAATGTATCTATTCACTTAAACAAGAAAAGCCCTTTGAATGTGTGGTTATAAAAAACATGGAAGGAAATACATATGTTGTTGTCATAAAAGCAAGATTATGGCTTTTTTCACTCAAACACACTTGTAAAAATATTACTTTACAGAGCCAGCAGGTAGTGTGATGGTTAAGGCACTGGACTCCCACATGGCCAGCCAGAGTCCTGGACCTGGTGGCTTGCTTTCGTTCCCTCTCTCTGACTCTCTCTAGTGAGTGCATGTGCCCTATAGCAAATTAAATAACAATGATAAATAAAATTAAATAAATAACTCTTTTAAAATATATATTACTTTCCATTTGAAAAAAATAAGTGTTTTAAAAATTACCTTTTTGTCACGACTCCCAGTGAAGAAATACTTGCTATCAGGACTCCAATCACAAGACCAAATAATTCTACTGTGCACAGAAGTAATTTTATTGGTGAAAGCAAAGAGACTGAAAACTATGTCTGAAAACAAAACAAAACAAAAACAATACGCACTTACTCACAAAGCAAAGCAGGCTGTTTCTGACTTGTTAAAAAACTATGTTTAAGTGTCACACACATCATAGGATTTAGGGATCAATTTACATATGCTGCCTTTGGAAACAGATTGGTGGTTAAGGTCTCTGGACTCCCAAGTGGCTGACCGTGTTCAGGTCCTAGACCTGGTTGCTTGCTTTCTCACTTTCACTCTCTCACTCTCACTCTCTCACTCTGTCCCTCTCTGGTCAAATTAAAATAAATAAATAAAGTTAAATAAAATAATGTTTTTTTTTTTAAAGTGACTGCCTATGAGAAGTAAAGGAGATTTTTATCTACTAATCCATAATCCATAAAGACACAAGCAAATTAACAGATACTGTATTAGTACCACTTTAACTTTTAAAAAAGTAATTGTTGCATGTTAGGAAAACACTAGTAATACAGAGGGAACATTCTGTTCTGACACATTCTGTTCTATAGTCTCTGGTCATTCTCTAAAATACAAGAAACTCAGGGGTTAGAAATATGAGATCAAACTGCATGCATGTCATATCAAAGGAAAAATAAACAGTACTGACAAATATTCTTTAAAAGCTCTCTAGAATTTATGTACCAAAAAATCCTGAGGGTGAACTGGCCCCATAACCTAGTGGTAAAGGAAGCAAGATCCCATATGACTGACCATAGTTGGAATCTTGGCCCCAGTGGTTTAAAAAACATGCCAGGTATGTGTGCGTGCACAACCAAGACTCCCATAGGGCAGAGAAATGGAGAAAAGCTTGGGGTGTGATCATGCCCCATTGGGGAGTGCATTCTTCTTTCCCTTTGTGCCTTTCTCTGGCAAACATACATGCCCTCTGGTGAAGGAAAAAAAGAAGGGAGGGAGGAACGGAGGGAGTGAAGGGAGGTAGGGAGGCAGGGTGGTCGGGAAGGAAGGAAGGAAAGAAGAAAGGAAGAGAAGAAACGAAACAAAACTAGAGGAATTTGGATAGGTCACTGCTACAACATAAAGACTATTTTATTTTCCCAATTTATGCAAGGCTTAGAGTCAAATGTGGGTTGGTGTGCTAATACCTCAACCAAGATTTACTTGAACTAACGACAGATGCCCAGCAGGCTTTCCTAATTATCAAAATGATGGAGGTAGGTAGAAAAAAGATAATGTTTTTGGAAACCAGCAGTTAGCGTAATGGCTATGTTGCTGGACTCCCATGTAGTCGACCGCGGTTCGCGTCCCGGACCCGGTGGCTTAAAACTCATGCCAGGCGGGGAACCAGCAGTTAGCATAATGGCTAAGTCACTGGACTCCCACATAGTCGACCGCAGTTCGTGTCCCGGACCCGGTGGCTTAGAACTCACGCCAGGCACGTGTGTGTGCGTGCCCAAGATCCCGAGAGGAGAATGGAGGCGAAGGGATTGCGTTGTGACCATCCCCCCTGGGGGGTGATTTCTCGCTTTCTGTCTCTCTCTGTCTGTCTGGTGAGTGCACGCACCCTATAGCAAAAACTTCTCAAAAAAAAAACCTTTTAATTCTATGTTTCATATTTATAAAATAATTCAGAGAGGAGAAATCACTCATCTACAAATTTTCTTATCTGTATCTTCATAATTCCCGTCCCATAGAATCCTAGCTCAGAATACATCATCCATTTAGTCTGTGATAGCGTTCTATAACCATCTGCAGAATGTAACTGTCTACAGACATATTTCTATACTTCTTCAGCTGACATATCTTAACACTTGCCATCCTGACGACATGATCACAAGGTTAATCCAAAAATCACCTGCATTTAAATTTTACAATGAAGGCCAAGTTTTCCTCCATTACCACAGAACTCTGAGGGGCTTCTCAGCCACAGGCTCTGTCCTTTACTTCCTTTCAATTTCCCGTAACCAACAGCAGCTTACCATGGATAAAATGGGCATAACTGCTTCCCTCTTAATCTTCCTGATCAGATGTTGTCTTACCAAACTCAAGTGAAATCGTATCCTGCCTTTTCCACAATGACCATGTCCGATCTCTGGAAACAGCTAGTAAGAACTTGTCATTAGGTGAGAAGGCCATCTGCGTGACAGTCAAACTGTGGAAAACTAAATTCTGCACCTGTTTCCAAGATGTAGTATTCCAAAGAATGATAGCTGCATGCTCTTTCTTAGCTGCCTGCAGGACAGAAATGAAACAATGCAACTATTTACATAGAATAAACTGAAAACATATCAAAAAAGGATATACTGAAAACATATCTAAAAAGAATATAATGTTTCTATGTGTACATTTTACGTATCAGTTTAAATACAAAAGAAAAAGAAGTTCCTAGGAGATAATATACTACAAGCAGGTCTAAATCCTCAGAAGCAGGGAAGACCAGGATTAGAAAAGATGAATCATCAGAAACGGATGCTGTAATCACACTATTTTAACGTTTTTAAAAAAGAATACACTGTGGTTCCAACAGATGGTATGGAGGTTAAGGCAGCTGGATCCCACACAGCTGACTGCTGTATAAGTCCTGTCATGGCTGCTTGAAAATCATTCCAGGCACATGTGTGTGTGTGCCCAAAATCTCAAGAGGACAATGGAGGAGAAGAGATTGTGCAGTGACCATCTCTCCTCCTGGGGAGGGGGATTTTTCACTTTCTGTCTCTCTCCAGTGAGCATACACACCCTACAGCAAAACCATATTTTTAAAAATTATCAAATTGTTCATATTAAACATGCAGTTTATAGTATGTTAATGACACAGTAGTATGTTAATGACACCTAAATAAAGCTATTTTAAAATGTTGGAAAGAGGAGCCAGTGGGTCGCATGTGGTTAAGGCGCTGAACGTTCCCACATGGCTGACCACAGTTCGAGTCCTGGTGGCTTGCTTTCTCTCTCTCTCTCTCTCTCTCTCTGTGTGTGTGTGTGTGTGGGTGTGTGTGTGTGTGTGTGTGTGTGTACATGCCCCAAATCCTGCTGAGATGGAGAAGTTAAGAAAGGATTGCAGTGTCATTATTCCCCATGGGAGGTATTTTCTCCCTGTCTCTTTAATGAGTATATGCACCCCTCTGGTAAATATTTAACAAAAAAGGGTCACTCTCCTGGGCAAATGTAGGCAGCATACAGTCCTACGTGCCATGGCAATTACCTGATCTGGCTACTAACCTGCCTCACCCTTGGCATGGGCCAAGAGTGCCCTCAAAAAAAGGTCAATGGACTTCACTCCAGCTCTCACCCTATCATTCTCCTGTGTCTCCAGGACCACAGTTATTAAAATTTATCACATTTTTAGGAACCATTTTTTTAAGAGAGATTTTTGTTATAGGGCACTCACCAGAGAGACAAAAGGTGAAAAAATCACATTGCAAGGTTATGGCCACACCGTAGTTCCTTCTCCTCCATTTTCCTCGAGATCTTGGGCATGCACGCACATGCGCCCAGTGTGAGTTTTAAGCCACCAGGTCCAGGATTTGAACAGTAGTTACTATGTGGGAGTCCAGCAACGTAACCGTTATGCCCTCTGCTGGTCCGAGGAACCATTTTTAAGATATCTGAGTAGGAGTCAGCAGGTGGCATGGTGGTTAAGATGCTGGACTGCAACATGGCCAACATCAGTTCAAGTCCTGGACCTGAGAACTTGCTTTCTCACTTTCCCTCTCTCTCTCTCTCTCTCTCTTTCTCTCTCTGGTCAAATTGAAAATTGCTTATATTAACTTTTAAAAAATAAAAGTTACTTTTAAAATCTGAAAAATAGTAATAATAATATAAATAAAATTAGATAAAATAATTTTTAAAAAAAAGCTATCTGATTGGGACCAGCAGATGGTGTAATGGTTACAATACTGGACTCTCGCATAGTCGACTGTAGTTCAAGTCCTAGACCAGGTGGGTTAAAACTTACACTGGGAACATGTATGTGCATGCCCAAGATCTTGAGAGGAGAGTGAAGGAAAAGGAATTGCAGGGTGGCCGACCCTCATGGAGGGTGATTTCTTGCTTTCTGTCTCTCTGTTTCTCTGGTGAGCACAAGTGCCCCATAGCAAAAATCTCTCTTAAACAAGAAAAAAAGATGTCTGATCAATTAATTCTGTCCTAAAGAATAAATCAACTCAAACAAATCATAAGAAAAATGTGCAACTGATTTTAAAATGGAGAGGAAGAAACCGAGAAAACAACATTCAGAAAAATCCCATACCCAGTGGCCTTTCACGCAAGGTTCTGCCTAATTCACTATCAAACTTGCAGAAACCTAAGGACCCAAGTAAATGTGACCAGGTAGAATCAAAAGTACCTTACAAGCTGAGGCAAGCAGAGTCTTTGAATTGTTACAAGCAACACAGAATATTTCATAACCATGTCCATATCTAAAATTAAAAAGAGAAAATATATGACTTCTACATTAGTAAAAGTACTGAATCTCATGCTGTAAAATTTTGTAAGTGAAACTCTCTAGGTAACATGCAATTCTTTTAAAAGATCATTATTTTTTGTCTAAGCAAACATTTTGGGGGCCAGCCCATGACCTGATGGTTAAGGTGGCTAGATCCCACATAGCCAACTGTGTGGTTCTGCACTTATCTAACAGAATGATTCCCCCCCCTTTTTTTTTTTTTTTTAATTTTTGCCAAAGGGGACATGTGCTTGTCAGAGAGAGAGGAAGAGAGAATATACTTCCCATGGAGAATGGTCAATTGCAAGCCTTTTTCCTCTAACTCTCCATCCTGTTGGGACTTTGGGTACGCACGCAGATGCCTCTGGTGTGTTTCTCAAGCTGCCAGGTCCAGGACCATGGGATCAGCCATGTAAGATCCAGCTGCCTTAACCACCAGACCATGGAGCCACGAGGTCAATGTCACCATTCCCTATGGGGGTCCCTTCTCTCTCTCTCTCTCTCTCTCTCTAGAGTGCTCATGCTCTCTATCAAAACTTGAAAAAAAAAAAAAAAATTGGACAGAGTTCAATCTGAATTCTGTAGTTTAAGTCCCAGACTCATAGCTTGAAAATCATACAGGCTGCATGTGAACATGTGTCCAAAACCCTGAGAAGAAAATGGATAAGAAGAGATTGTGGCAGGATCATCCCCCTGGGGGGCTGATTCTCATTTTCCCTCTTCTCTCTCTGTCTCTCTCTGGTGAGTACACTTGCCTTATAATAAAACTAATTAAATAAATATATATGTGTGTGTATACACATATGTGTGTAAACATATACATATGTGTGTATGTGTGTACATATGTGTGTGTGTGTATATATATATATATACACACACACAAATAAAAGAAATACAACTCACTTTAACAATTAGATTAACATTCACATTTTTACCTCTTACTCTCAACTAGCCAGCACAATGAAAAACAAGCCATGAAAAGATTTTGATGGGGAGCCATCCAAGAAGGAAAAGACCAGTTAGAATAACAAAATCTCAGGGACCAGCAGTTGGCATAATGGCTATGTCACTGAACTCCCATGTAGTCAACTGCGGTTCGAGTCCCAGACCCGGTGGCTTAAATTCACACCAGGCGCGTGTGCGTGCGTGCCCAAGATCCTGAGAGGAGAATAGAGAATTGCAGCATGGCCATCCCCCAGAGCGGTGATTTCTCTCACACTCGCCCTATAGCAAAAACAAGACAAAAACCTGTAAAAAAAAAAAAAAAAGGGAAAAAAAAAGAGTAACAAAACTTCAACATATTGGGAACAGAGGTGACCCACTGTAGTCCTATCTAACTGGGAAACTGGGGTGAGAGGACCACCACAAAACAAGATCCCATCAAAAATACCTCTAAGGGTCAGGTGGTGGTGCAGCAGCAAACGTAAGTGAACCTACATGAAAAAGCCTCCCAAGCACATGTGCTCACAATTCAGGCTGGCTGAAACAGTAGGACTGAAGTGTGAAGACCCTTAAGGTGTATGTGTGTGTGTGTGTGTCTGTCTCTCTCTCTTTCACAGAATAAACTTAATAAAAACACCTCTACTGGGACCAGCAGATGGCATAATGATTATGTCGCTAGACTCCCACATAGTCAACCACAGTTCAAGTTCTGGACCTGGAGGCTTAAAACTCACACTGGGTGAGTGTGCATGGGTGCACAAAATCCCAAGAGGAGACCAGAGGAGAAGGGATTGCAGCATGGCCATCCCCCGGGGGGTGATTTCTCACTTTTTATCTCTCTGTCTCTTTCTCTCCGTGAGTGCATGTGGCCTATATCAAAAACCTCTCTTAAAAAAAGAAAAAAAGCCAGTGCTGACAGGTGGCATGATGGTTAAGTACATGCCTGACCATGGTTCAAGTCCCGGACCTGGTAACTTGCTTTCTCACTTTGTCTCTCTCTCCCTTTCTCTCTGTCTCACTCTGTCCCTCTCTGATCAAATTTAAACTAAGTTAAATAAAATAATTATTTTTTAAAAAAGCAAAACCTCTCTCTCTCTCTCTCTGCATATATCTCATTTAAATTTTTTTTTAAATTTATTTATTATTTTATGCCTCTCCACTCTAAAAATTAAGAGAAGATTGACCGCATACCCTAGTGGATCCCACGCCGTTGACTATGCTTTGAATCCTGACCCTGGCTGCTTTAAAAACACTTTGGGCACATGTGTATGTGTACCCCAAATCCTGATAGGATGGAGAAATGGAGGAAAAGGGATGGTGGCATGACCTACACTCCTCTGGGAAATGCTTCCTCCCTCTCCCTCTCTCAGGTAAGTACATATACCCTTTGGCATTTAAAAAAAATTAAGACCAATAAAGAAACTTAATAAATATAAATAGAAATATAAAAATATCAATGTGAGGTTGATTCTCACCTCTAATTAAAAGTGGCTTTAATATATAAAAAGTGGCTACTAAAATATCTATAGAGTAAAAGGGAAAATGTAGGTAGGAGGGAAGCAAAGATTATCTTCTTTGGTAGGAATCACAAGTTATGACAGAATCAGACCAAACTTACAATTTCTGAACTTCAGGCCACAAAGTATTTTGCAGAAGATGATCCTCAGTGGGAGGCTCTACAATAAATTTATAGTGTTGCAATTTATTGTTTCTGTTTTCATGCAAATAAAAAAGTAAATTTTGTATCACTTATTTAGGTCAGCAATGACAAGTACTATACTCTGTGTACTTAATAAGTCATCCTTTTGTCATTCCTTACCAGTAAGTATAGAGGGTTGAAAGGCCATCTGGTGATACTCTAAGCCAGTACTAGTTAACAGTTCCTCTTGATCAGAAGGTTGAAAAGCTATATCTCCTAGTGTTAAAACAAACAAAACAGATTAACATAATTAATGCAATCACGATCTTTATGTCTCCTACATTTGTATCAATATTAAGGCCATCAATTAGAAAGCAGTGGCACTTTAAAGTGGTAAAATTCAAAGCAATGTCCACATGATTCCAAAGCCACAGGTGTTTTCACTATTCCAATGTTTTCTAAATACACTCCTTGGAGCGTCAGTAAATTCCATAAAGATTCCTCCATTTTCTTTGACCTAATAGCTCCCAAATATTTTAAATTATGTAGCAGATTCTTCAGTTTACTCACACTAACATCTGTGGTGTTAGTGCTTCATGAAACACACTTTGTGAAAGCTGCACCTGTTTTAGCGGTCTGTGGGTATACAGAGTACTTACAAGATGTTTGATGGAGAAGGCAGATGCATGTATTATGATTTTAAAAAGTAAACAAACAGCTATAATGAACACTAGGCACATAAAACTAGATTTTAAGTACCACCACGAGTTCAATGACTCTGGAGACTAAACCTTACCTTGAAAGACAGCTTTATTTGATAATCCCAATGCAGGGACAGTAGCTCCTTCAGGAAGATCACTGTCATGCTAAAATAAAAAGTATAACATGTAAATTTTAAACACTAAAAATTACTGTTACCTCAAGCACTACAATAAATAATAAATAAAGTCATGCTTATAAATGTTGAGAAATAGTTTAAAGACTACTCTGTATGAATGTCTGCCCCCCTGCCACCTCCTGAACCAACAGATACAATGCTAAGCAATCACTTTCCAATCGACAAGCCTTACCTTACTCCCAGGCCCCACCCAGCCCATGAAATCAGGCATCCTCTTCTCTAAGAGCTCATTAAACCCCAACAGTTGAAAGGTTTTTAGAATGTGACTAGGACTGCAATGCACTGGTTTCAGGCAAAGAATAGACTGAGTGCTCTACTTTCAAGAGAGTTTCATCAATGACGCTGATATAAACACAGATGTTTCCCAGAAAGGCACAGTCATAGCATTTTCATTAAACCTATTTACTTACATTTCAACGCAGAGGCTGGAGCTACAATAGATATAAACATCAGCAATAGAAATTTAAACCATTATTAAAACTACCTATGACATAAAAACTTTATCTCAGAACAAAGAAAAAGAAAATAGCATGTAAGGGTCAAGAAGAAACATTCTGCATATTTATCCCAGTACTTCATATGGAAACAAATCTAAAACAGAGCAAGAAGCTTTCTGTCCTACAGGATTACTGAATTATAGGGCACATAATAAGTGTAGCTTGTCATAGATCCCTAAAAGCCATTTCAATCCCTAGAACTGAAGCAACCTGAAACTACCCCTTCAGCACCACATGCTTGGCTCTATGTAATAACCACAGTCAAGACCTCCCTTTTGATCTCATTTCCATTGTCCATTATTATAGTAGAACAAGCGTAAGAGAATCTAAGTCCTCTTCACATCATTTAAAAAGCCTATGGCATGAAGTGCTGAGTACATACTCCAGGAAATTTGCTTGGGCATTTCATTTCAAATGACTCTCATTTTCTTCTCTAGTCTTACCTGTAGCAGTGCTGGTTTCCCTGCCTTCAGGGTCTCTGAGATCCCAGACAATGCTCTCCATTCCAAAACACTTTTTGTCCCTTTCCTTACGTAGGAAGGCTTCCAAGGCACTCCATAGTCTCAGCTGTGCCTACCTCCTTAGCTTCTCCATATTTGACATTCTGCCATCCTCTCCATGTCCTTTTACAAAGTCTTCATCTCAACAAACAACAGCTCTGGCCACCTCTCTGCTCCCTCTCCCCTTCTTCTGCCTATCAAAATTATACTTCCCCTTTCTGAGCTCAAAATCAAATTTGTGACCCAACTCTAACTAAAGGGCTGGATGATATGCCCTTCTATGTAACAATAACATCTTTCTTCATTTTCCTTCTCTTGAATTAAGTTACTTTGTAATTTTCACAATCCATGTATTTTTATAAAGTATCTTTTGTTAAAGGCAAGTACAAACATAAAATCTTACTCTTACAGAAACCTAAATAAAGTCCCATTAAACAATGTCCTGGGCCAGTCAGTGGCTTGGTGGTTAAGGTGGCCAGATCCCATACAGACGACAGTATAGTTCAAGTCCCAGCTCTGGCAGCTTGAGAAACTTGAATGCCCAAAATCCCACAAGGAGGGAGAAATGAAGAGATTATGTGACCATCCCCAGTGGGAGATGCTTTCTCACTTTCTTTCTCTCTGAATCTCTCTCAAGCAAACGCATGTGCTCTCTAGCAAATTAGTTTTGAAAAAAGTCCCACTGCTCTGATACAGAGAATGACTTCTTTCTTCTATGAAATTTACTTCAGTACCATAAGATTTTGCAATTAGCTAGTCTAATCAAGTAATTGCAGGTATGTTATTTTCCCTGCTTTCCACATCAGACCCTACAGCTGAGTGATAATCTCCTTAAAAAGGGATCCATCATTTATAGTATATCATAGGTACCTGCAATAATTAATAGTATTAACACCTCAAGAGAACACTGTAATTCTGCTTTCACTTGAGCTCATTTTAGGTTTTAACATTTAAGTCACTACAAACCACAGTGCCTATAAGTTTGTCAAACCAGTGATAAACAATTTGACTTTCTTTCCACCATTATACCACATGTATAACCTAAAGCAAAATCATTTAAATTTAAAACAAAGTGACTAGATTTAAGTAAAACATTTATAGGAATACTCACATTACAAAGCACATGATTTAGTGACTGTCCTGTAATGGCACAAAAGTTCTCCACAAAATTTCGAGGTGCAGAAAAAACTCGAAGAACTTTTTCATCTGCTCCAGATACAAACTGAAACCGATTAATCATTGCCAAACATTTTAGGTCATACCCATGTATCTGAGGCCTCGCAATTTCATGCCAAGTCACCTGGGTAACAAAAGGATAAACAAAGATGACCACATATTTTTTAAAAAATTGTTTTCAACAAGCAAAGTTGTTATTAGGTACTCGGGAAAGTCATGACACATTTTTGCATAGGAAAATATGTCATGACTTTCCCGACAACCAAACAGATGCAAAATTATTACTACGCCATGGATATATGGCCATGGGCAGGTTCATCCATGTATAAACAACACCTGAGCCACGTCGATAACAAAGCACCAAGAGCCAAAGGAAATCACGCCAAATCATTTGACTTGTTTTTCATCGACTATAGGTGTTGTTCTCAATGCTCTCAACTCTCGTCACTTGAGCATGCCATGTGCTAGTGAAGCAATAAGACTAGTAGCAAGCTTCATTAAACCTTACGGACTAAGCTGCAGTTACTTATATAAATTTATGTCAAAAATTGAACTGAGGATCCCAACTTTCTCTACCATAGAATGGTTCAATGGCTTATCAGTGGTACAGTTTTATCTTGATTGTTTGACCTTATGTCCACTATTAAAAATCCTCTTGGGAACCAGCAGTTAGCGTAATGGCTATGTTGCTGGATTCCCACGTAGTCGACCGCGGTTCGTGTCCCGGACCCGGTGGCTTAAAACTCACGCCGGGCGCGTGTGTGTGCGTGCCCAAGATCCCGAGAGGAGAATGGAGGAGAAGGGATTGTGGTGTGACCATCCCCCCTGGGGGGTGATTTCTCGCTTTCTGTCTCTATGTCTCTCTCTGTCTGTCTGGCGAGCGCACGTGCCCTACAGTGAAAATCTCTCAAAAAAAAAAAAAATCCTCTTGAACAAGAACTGCCCTCAACTACTTTTTTTTTTTGAGAGGATTTTGTAGGGTGTGTGCACTTGCCAGGAAGACAGAGAAACAGAGAGAAAGCAAGAAATCCCTCCCCCCGCCCGGGGGGATAGCCATGCCACAGTCCCTTCTCCTCCATTCTCTTCACAGAGTCTTGGACACGCACGCACATGCGCCAGGTGTGAGTTTAAACCACCAGGCCCAGGACTCAAACCGCAGTCAACTACATGGGAGTCCAGGTACACAGCCATTACGCCAACTGCTGATCCTGCCCTCAAATACTTTTAACTATACTACATAACTTAGAAATCAGCTTTTACTGTCGAGTTGATACTTCCTCCTAATGAATTAAACACAAAAGTAAATGAGGGAACAGAATTTTTACGTGACTCTGAAGTAAATATATTTGATGATTAACATTTAAATTACTGAAGGAATTATAAAAAGTACATGTATGTTTAAGTTTTTAAGAAAATGCTAAACTGTTTCCCCACAGGGCTGTTTTGCATTCCCACTAGCAATGTCAAGAAGTTGCAGTTGGGGACCAGCAGTTGGTGTAATGGATATGTCACTGGACTCCCACATAGTCAACCACGGTTTGAGTCTCAGACCTGGTGGCTTAAACTCATGCCAGGCAAGTGTGCGTGTGTGCCCAAGATCCCAAGAGGAGAGTAGAGGAGAAGGGACTGTGGTATAGCCATTCCCCCCGGGGGGTGATTTCCCGCCTTCTGTCTCTTTGTCTCTTTCTGTCTTTCTGGCAAGCACACGCGCCCTATAGCAAAAACCTCTCCAAAAAAATAAAGAAGTTGCAGTCATAGGCCAGCCAGTGGCATGGTGGATAAGGTGACTGAATCTCACATGGCCGACAGCATGGTTTGAGTCCCAGGCCCAGCAGCTTTTAACACACACCAGGTGTGATATGCATGTGTGTGCAAAATCATGAAAGGAGAAATGGAGAAGGGACTGTAGCATGACACCCTCCATGGGGGATGCTTATTCACATTCTGTCTCTAGTGAACACATGCACCTTCCAGCAAATTAAAAAAAAAAAAAAAATGCTGGGCCAACAAGTGGTGTGGAGGTTAAGGCACGGGATCCTACAAGGCCAGCTTGAAAATAATACCAGCTGCATGTGCACGCATGCCCAAAATCCCAATAGCATGGTCATCTCCTGAAAGGAGTGGTGACTTCTCAGTTTCCCTTTCTCTCTAGCAAGTGCATGCATCCTATAGCAAAAACTTTTAAAAAGAGGACCAGCAGATGGTGGAACAGTAGCACCGCTGGACTTGCATTACCCAACTGTGATTCAAGTCCCCACACCAAGTGGCTTAAAACTCACAACAGGCTGGGACCAGCAGTTAGTGTAATGGCTATGTCGCTGGACTCCCATGTAGTCGACCGTGGTTCGAGTACCAGACCCGGTGGCTTAAACTCATGCCAGGCGTGGTGCGTGTGTATGCCCAAGATCCCAAGAGGAGACTGAAGGAGAAGGCATTGCGGCGTGGTCATCCCCTCTGGGAGGTGATTTCTTGCTTTCTGTCTCTCTCTGTCTTTCTGGTGAGAGCATGCGCCCTATAGCAAAAACCTCTCCAAAACAAACAAACAAAAAACCTCACAACAGGCACATGTGCGTGCATGCCCAAAATCCCAAAAGGAGAATGGCAGATAAGGGATTGTGGCATGGCCATTCCCCCAGGAGGGTGATTTCTCACTTTCTGTCTCTCTCTTTGTTGAGTGCACACACCCTACAGCAAAAATCTCTCTCTGAAGAAAAAAAAAAAAAAAAATAAAGTTTCAGTCACTTGCTGATATTTTTTTAATGGCGTCCAGCTGCCTTGGTCCCTGCCCAAGTCCCACCTGCTGCCCAATGTATTTTTTACTTTAGTTATCTTAGAGTATGTGGTATCTCAACATGGACTTAATTTGCATCTTCCTAATGGCTAACTAACAATGTTGCCCCACTTTTCATGTACTCATAGGTGTTTTCTACACTGGATTAGTCAAGTAGGAAGGTATCTTACCTGTGATTGGTCTCTTTTCTTCCATGGAGCAAAAAGTCGAGTTGTCTGATCTGTACTAACAGTGATGATAAATTCTCCTTCTGGATCCCACACTAGGTCTTGGACACCATCAAAGTGTCCTGAAATGACAATCTCTGGGGTCCATTCTTTCTGTAACAAAAGTGTTCATGACAAGTACCAAAATAATCACAGGCCAGTAGCACCCAAAACAAAGTACTCATGTCTGAAACTGGGAAGGACTGAAGCCCCTAGCAAGGTGAAAAGCTACATATACAAGATGGAAGCATGCAATAACAGTATTCATTTTCCAATCGACCATATTTTAACTTAAGCATTCCAAAATGTGCTATGTCCTGGAAGCAGTAACCTTCAGAAATGTCTACCCATTCACTGCCTAATGAATGCCTTCTGAAGCCACACACTACTTAATTTTTCTGTGTCTCAACTAACCCTTCAATAATATAGGCCTTTTAAAAGAAAGATCTAAAAGCCGTATATTTTCTACTACGTTTCTACACAGTATTATAAGTAAAAATACTATCTCTTGAGGCGTTGGAAAAGTCATGATGTATTTTTCTGTTTTTCTATGCAAAAATGCATCATGACTTTTCTGGTGATCCAATAACAATCTTTCATTTAAAAGTTGCTCTATTTGATCAAAAATGCTTCCTCTGGAAGTGCTTTGTAGGGGCTGGCAGGTGGCATGGTAGTTAAGGGCGTTGGACTCCCACATGGCCGACTGTGGTTGGACTCCCTGACCTAGTGGCGAGCTTTCTTACTTTCCTTTTCTCTCTCTCTCTCTCTGTCCCTCTCTAGTCAAATTAAAATAATTTTAAAAATGAAGTTAAATAAAATAATTCTTTAAAAAAAAAAGTACTTTGTAACAGGGTGTGCAGGTGGCATGATGGTTAAGGGTGCTGGACTCCCACATGGCCGACTGTGGTTGGACTCCCTGACCTAGTGGCGAGCTTTCTTACTTTCCTTTTCTCTCTCTCTCTCTCTGTCCCTCTCTAGTCAAATTAAAATAAATACATTAATAAATAAATTTCAATAAAATAATTCTTTAAAAAAAAGCACTCTATAGGACAGCAGCTAGATCCCACATGGCCTACTGTGTAGTTCCAGTCCCAGAAAAACACTCTGGGTGTGCGTGTGTACATGCCCCAAACCCCAAAGTAAGAGAGAAATGGACAAGAGATTGCAGGATGACACCAGCATGGGGGTCGGGGTTCCTCACTTTCCCTCTCTGTCTTGTTTTCCTCTGCCCATCCCCCTCCCCCCCACCGTGAACACACAATCCTTCTGGCAAGAGAAAAATATTTTAAGTGCTTTTTCTTACTGGGTTGGCTGCATTCTGTCTCCAAAGGTGCAGGGCTCCATGGAAAGCATGAGCGATGATCATGGAGCCATCTTCATTGAACTGGCAGTCATAAAATCCCAGAGTATTACCACCTACTTCACCTACTCGAACCTACACAGTAACAAAATAATCCTCAATCAATAGTCTAAACTTCTCACAAGAGAAATCACTGATTCTAGAGACTGTTAAATTCCCACTCATTTAACATATACACAGGGAAAATTTGCAGCTCTAGCAATGAAGACTCAGAATTTAGTATATAAAATCCAATTTTCTGTTCTTTAAACATTTTTCACCTGCTCTAGCCAAACTCCTGACTCTTCATCTGGAGCCCAGAGAATCATAGTTTTATCCATGGAGGCAGACAACAATCTCATTGGCTGCTGTGGAACTCCATCTAAAGAATAAAAAGTAATCCCTTTAAGTGATCAAATGACAAGCACTGTGTTCTTCTGTACTTGCAAAAATTGGCAAGCACAAAGGTTCAGCATTAGAAGAACAAGTTGTGGTACATTCAGACAATGGAAATAGTATACTGCAATAAAAACACATGAACTAGATATTAGAGCTACATGAATTGACATGGCTACATCTTCAAAATATGCTAAGCTAAAAAGCCAAATTGTCACGGTATAAATACATGCTGATATCGAATTCAAATAGCTATAAAACAATGTTGTGTATGGCTATATAGAAGTTAAAGCATAAAAACATACATGGGAATGATATGCAGTGAATTTAGTACTGTAGCTGCCTACTAGGAAGAACAGGGGGGAAAGGTTGATAAAGAATATGCAGAGATCTTCAATATCTGTAACATCTAATAAATTTTTTTAAAGAAATGTAGCAAATATGGCATAATGTAAGTAAGAGCTGGATAATAATTACCTGACCATTAACTACCGCTACTCTTGTCTTTGGGAAGGGATTAGGGGAGAATGTGAGACTGTGACTTGTTCAGGTTTACCGCCCAGAACCAGCTTGCACACACTCAGAATCTTCACTCCATAAATGTACATTAAGAGCAAAAGAAACAAGAGGCAGAGTCTTACTTTTTCTTAAATCATGTATCTCAGTATTACCAACTTTGGATTACCAAGGGTAAGGATTGCAGTGAAGGTGGCTTAAAGGTCAATTTTTCTTAAATCCCATAATGACTGGATAGAAACTCTTAAAAGAAAAAGCAAATGGGGATGTGGTGGTTTCGGCATCATGGCAGGAATAATACGTTTCCAACTCAGGAGTGCAACAGAACTGAGTGTCCAAGCAGACCAGCAATGCAATATTACGCTGCCAATTTGAAACTGTCTTCTATTTGTAATCTCATCAGTCTAGAATTCTATGAGATTTTACTAAAATGAGAAACACGTGTTTGCTTCTCTTCCTACCTCTGTAAAATGAAGGTTGCCAATGAACTGCATTCACCCAGTTTTCGTGTCCAGCTAGTACAGTCTCCAGTGTAATTGCAAATGCTATCTTAATACCTATGATGAAAACAAGTACAGTATTCTTTCTCAAAACACTTGTAAAGAGAACATTTCCATAACCAAGTCAGTTGTGTTGTTATATTTTAAAAAATAGGATAGTTGAGACTGAACAAAAAGAACATGCATTCAAATTTTTATTAACTTCACCCATTATTCAAAAATACAGGAGAAAAAGTTCTAAAAATAAATTTTCCTCTGGCCAGCCAGTGACACGGTGGTTAAGGCAGCTGGATCCCACATGGTTAACTATTTAGTTTGAGTTGAGACCTGGCAGCTTAAAAGATACACCAGATGCATGTGCATGCCTCAAATCCCAAAAGGAAAATAGATGAAAAGGGACTGTGGCATGGTCATCTCCACAGAGGGTGTTTTCTTACGTCCTCTCTGTCTTTCTCTGGTGCATGTGTGCCCTATGGCAAACAAACAAACAAACAAACAAAAAATTCCTTTAAATAAATATTAAGGAATATAGTCTGTTTTAAAATTTTCTGGGACAGCTACTTTTTTCTTTTTAAAGAATTATTTATTTAATTTTATTTATCATTATTACTTTTAAACTTTGCTATAGGACATGTGCGCTCACCAGAGACACAGAAAGAAAGAATAAGAAAGTGAGAAAGCCAGCTGCCAGGTCAAGGACTCGAACTGTGGCCAGCCATTTGCTTCTCAACTACCATGCCACTCACTGGCCCCAGGGACAGCTACTTCTACAATGCAACTAAGAAAGGAAAAACAGACATGCCAGTCTGCTTGCTGTCCTCACTTACCAGAATGTGATAGCCTAAAGTATTTTTAAAAGGTTGAAACAAATGCAGAAATAAAGGGAACTAAGTATTGTGACCAAACAAATAGTGACAATACCATGAAAAAGTCTACTGTTGGGTATGGCTACATATATGCTATCTATATTGTTTCGGTTCTCCCCATAGAACTATTGGTCATCGGGAAAGCCTTGATGTATTTTTGCATTAAAAAACATTTTAAAAAATATTATGACTTTCCTGATGACCTAACACATGGTTAAAATCTCAACTCTAACAAGCTTTGTAAGTATTATTAACAACAAATGCTACACTTGGGTGAACAATGCTCACTGAGGACTAATGTTTTATAGATACACATCCCAAAACAACGCCTTCAAATACTACACTCCAAGAGGATCTACGATGACGTCCTCTCTGTCTTTCTCTGGTGCATGTGTGCCCTATGGCAAACAAACAAACAAACAAACAAAAAATTCCTTTAAATAAATATTAAGGAATATAGTCTGTTTTAAAATTTTCTGGGACAGCTACTTTTTTCTTTTTAAAGAATTATTTATTTAATTTTATTTATCATTATTACTTTTAAACTTTGCTATAGGACATGTGCGCTCACCAGAGACACAGAAAGAAAGAATAAGAAAGTGAGAAAGCCAGCTGCCAGGTCAAGGACTCGAACTGTGGCCAGCCATTTGCTTCTCAACTACCATGCCACTCACTGGCCCCAGGGACAGCTACTTCTACAATGCAACTAAGAAAGGAAAAACAGACATGCCAGTCTGCTTGCTGTCCTCACTTACCAGAATGTGATAGCCTAAAGTATTTTTAAAAGGTTGAAACAAATGCAGAAATAAAGGGAACTAAGTATTGTGACCAAACAAATAGTGACAATACCATGAAAAAGTCTACTGTTGGGTATGGCTACATATATGCTATCTATATTGTTTCGGTTCTCCCCATAGAACTATTGGTCATCGGGAAAGCCTTGATGTATTTTTGCATTAAAAAACATTTTAAAAAATATTATGACTTTCCTGATGACCTAACACATGGTTAAAATCTCAACTCTAACAAGCTTTGTAAGTATTATTAACAACAAATGCTACACTTGGGTGAACAATGCTCACTGAGGACTAATGTTTTATAGATACACATCCCAAAACAACGCCTTCAAATACTACACTCCAAGAGGATCTACGATGCAGGGATATAGTTGAGAAAATCAGTGTTCTACTAAAACACAAGGATTTAACTTGTCTCCCAACGAAAGTCTGGATAACTCACATTATTAGAAGTCTTCCTATGCTAAAACCAAATTTAGTAACATTTTATAAATTAATTTATGAGAAACATGAAACACTTTCAGCAATTTTTTAAAAATCAAGCTGAAATGGCTTAGAAGAAATACAAGTTTCATATGTGAAAAATGATTCATCGTCCTGTAAAAGTAAAAAGTAAAAGTAAAAACAGAAAAACACACAGTACCAGTTTCAGGGCTTTCATACTTCTGAAAAACTAACCTTCACACAGTTAAGTGGTAAAACAGATAAATGAACCAGCCAGAAGAACTAAGTATTGTTACATCAAATAGTTTCATTATCACTCACTTTCATTTTCTATAGTGAAAGTATTTTCCTTCAGTCTTATATTATTGTCATCCTGGTTTTCTAAAGATGTAGATTTTATATACAGTCTCCATACTCTTATGAGGCAATCTTGTGAACAGCTTGCTAGGAAAAGATCTCTACCTAATTAAGAAATAAATCATGTTATTTTTAAAACATTACGTTCTTAAATGTAAGTATAAGATATTTCTAGATTTCCCCAAAATTAAATTTTTGTTTCCTTACCGTTCATTCATCTGACCTGTATTCATTTTCATAACAGTGACAGATACTTTTTAAAAAGTGACAGATATATACACAATGCTAATAAATGTAACAGGAGGTACTTATGTATAGTCTACTAAGTTCTACAAAGAATTTCCCAAGAATGTCTTCATCTGAGATAGCACCACTTTATATTGGCTTGTTTCATTCCCTCCTGCCCAATTAACAGTTAATAGAAACAAAAAGTATCCTCTTTTCTAATGTGGACATTAGAAAAATTAAGAGACTACTTAAATTACATGATTTGTTCCCCTGACACAAGCTTTCACAAAATTTCATACTGACCAAAGGTTGCCCATTCCACGCCTCTTATCCAATCCTCATGTCCATGGAGAAAAAGCACTTTCTGAAACTAGTAAGAACAAAAATTGTTGAGGCTTGACGTTCACGTTTAACATTTTCATGGTGTCAGTGACTTCATTTGGACTCACCCAGGTCAAACATCATTGCTTTTACTGAGAACACTATTGGATTTGACATATAAACAGCCTTCAAAAAGTTTGTGAAGAGACAACCCTCAGAATGAGAGGATATATTTGCAAACTATGCCCCATGTAAGGGACTGATAACCAGAATATACAGGGAACTCAAGCAGCTCACCTGAAAAAAAATCCAAATTAATAAATGGGAAATAAAATACTCATTTGGGAACTTGTCACGTAATGTCTAAATCATCTGAGCAACCCTGAGTAGGTAACATATCTATAGACTTCAAATACTTCAAATGTTTACAAAGTAAAATGGTATGTGCTGTAGATACAATATAGAAAAAAGTTAAAAAAAAAAAAAAAGATCATTGGATCTTCACAACCATTTTTAACTCTTACAGAACATGAAGAAACAAGTGTCCTCATCATGCAAAAAATGAGTGTAGTTAACTAACCCCCTTTCTGGAACTTCTTTCCACTCATTTACCCACTCAAAAACAAAGGCATAGCTTTGGACAGACACTATTAGAGAGTATTTCACTGCAGGTATGTTAATACGTCATTTAAATTTTTCAAGGGAAAAAAAAAAAGAACACTACCTAATACTTCTTTCTGCCACCTAGCAATCTGTTTTCCTGGGATAATGCTCAGTCTGGTGGCCTACTTGGTAGCTACTTAGGGTTTACACAGAGAGTGGAAAATTATCTAACAGAGGGTTATCCAAAAAGGTACTCCATTATTTTGGTTTAGAGTAGAACATCCCTAAAATTCTATATTCTGGAGACAGTCTGTATTAGAACATATAATTAGGTAGAACATTCTAGTATCTTATTAATCATTCGTTACCTGATCATTTTGTTGAACAAACAAGTGAATTTTGCAGTCATCACCACCACAGGCTAACACTGGTACTGGGAGGGAATAAAAGGTGTCACTGTGAGTACTCTGCCATATGTTATGATCATCACCTATGCTGGATTCTAAGCTGTAAAGAACCCTGACTTCTATTTCCCATGTCGTTTAACAAATATATTGAAAGTGCTTGATAAAAGTCTGCAGGAATAAAATGAACACTCTGAAATGTTCTCTTCAATGGTTATGTGCACAACATGGCAGCAGAACACCAAACCATGGAGTCCGGCACCTACTACAAAGAGCAACAGAGGCTGGCCTCTCCCCACCTGGTCACCTTCCAGGTCACTGAAGGGCAGAGTTCAACTCACTCATATGCTAGCACCTTTGTGGAGATGAGGTGTAGATGGGTTTCATCACAAAAATGACTACTTTTCTGTTTGGAGACATTAAGTGGCCTTAGGAAGGATGAATGGGCTATGATCTTGAAATACTCACATGGTAGATCTTTAGTACTTTTCAACTTACCCTAGACTTGCACCTTAAGAATTAGATACTTATCCCAAATTAGAGCTGTATCCATCCACAATATATTTCATAAACAGTAGTATCTATATATTTTTTTCTTTTAAGAGATTTTTTGCTATAGGGCACATACATACTCACTGGAGACACAGAGAGGGACAGAAAATGAAAAATCACCCCCCAGGGAGGATGGCCACACACAACCCCTTTTCCTCCACTCTCCTCTCAGGATTTTGAGCACACACACGTGCACACACACACACACACACACACCCCTATCTTAGTATATATAGTCACTTACATTTTCAAGAGCTACTAAAATTCCTACTAGCTTGTCTTAAATTTTATGTTCTAGGGGCCACCAGATGGCATAGCAGTTATGTCACTGGACTCCAACACAGCCAACTGTGGTTCGAGTGTTGAACTCATTGGCTTGAACATCACCCTGGGCACATGTACACGTGTGTCCAAGAGACCAGGAAAAGGAGGGAGAAGAAGAGATTGTGGCATGGCCGTCCCCCCTGGGGAGTGATTTCTCACTTTTCCTCCCACTGTCACTGTCTCTGTCTGTCTCTCTCCAGCAAATGCATGCACCCTCTTAAAAAAAAAAAAAGTTATGTTCTATACTCAGACCATTTGAACACTGAATAAAATATGTTATCCACATCTCAACTCGTTTCATAAAAACATTTAGATATGAAGTGGAGCCCTAATATATTTCTTTCAGTTTCTGGTCATATGAAGATATACAGATATACTCTCTTCTAATACATATTTAGCAAGATACTCACCATCTGTATTAGGCAAAAAAGATAAACAGAGAGCCAGAGCAAATCCATTTCCAAAGTTCAAAATCTGAAGGCAGGTTACTAAAAAATAACAAAACCATCATGAACAACTCAGTGTTTATCTACCTAGAAAGGCTGATTAGCATCTTCATAGCAGTAGGAAAATGAGAAAAGTCCATCTTAATTTCTGCTGATCAAGTGAAGGTAAATGAACTGTTCTTAACAAGATTACATATTTTAAAAGACTACAGAGAACAAAATGGCATATATAAAAAGGTTTGGAAGGAAGAAATTATACCGACAAAACATTTGGTACACAGGATTTTTTTTTCTTTCAGCGTTTTGACATAGGGCACGTGCGCTCAGCAGGCAAAAAAGTGAGGAATCCCACCCAGGCAGGATGGCTATGCTACAGTCCCTTCTCCATTCTCTTCTTGGGATTTTGAGCACACATCACACACACACACACACACACACACGCGCACGCGCGCACGCACACGCACGGTGTAATTTTCAAGCCACCTGGTGTAGAACACAAACCAGTCAGCGATGTAAGAGTCCAGCACCTTAACCAACCAATATGTCACCTGCTGGCCCCAAAGGAATGTTTTTTAAATGTAAAGGAAACAAATATTTAGAATTATTACCTTTTTCTAAGTTTATTTCCTTCACGTGAGAGACAGTCAGTCAAACATACACAGGCATCCTTAACAGGGAGTCCACACCATACTCCTCCCCTTAGCCAGCTAGGATCGTGGGTATACCTGTGGGACTGACCTGCATGTTTAGATAAACCATTAAATGCGAACCCAAACCTGGTGGGTTCCAGGTGATCTCTGGCACTGTATGGCAGCATCCAGCTGCTTGCCCACTACAGCTAGGCCTAGAATTATATTTCAAAAGCTTCTTGAGGGGCCGTAGATGGCATAGCAGTTATATCACTGGACTCCCACAGGGCAGACTGTGGTTCGAGTCCCTGACAGTGGCTTGAAATTTACGCCAGGTGTGTATACATGCCCGAGATTTCAGAGGAGAATGGAGAAGGGATTGGGGCATGGCCTTCCCTCCTAAGGGGTGATTTTTTTCCCCCTCTCACTGTTTCTGTCTCTCTTTTTCTCCCTGGGGAGTACACATGCCCTAAGGCCAAAAAACTCTTTAAAAAAGCTTCTTGAAATTTAGAAAAAAGTCCTACATATGCTCTTCTAATTGTCTCATTCGCTTGATAATTACTATTTCGTTTGTCTGGATTATAATCTCTCCAAACCTACCTTCAGAACCCTTTTTAGACCAGAGCCGAACAGTAGAATCTGAAGACGCAGAAGCTACCAGTGTGTGTAATGCCACATCTGATGCCCTCCTCTGGTATAAAGCATGCACTGCATAAACAGGTCCTTCATGGCCTTGGAGATGAACTGCCTGTAAAAGTTGAATCAGAAAAAATGACAAAGGCATCACAATAAAGAAGAAATCAACAGTTTCACTTTTATTTAACTACAATCACAAGAGTAAAGGTTCTGTTAAAATTTCTGAGCCAGGGGCCAGCAGGTGTAGTAGTGGACTCTGGCATGGCCAACAGTGGTTTGAGTTCCAAACCCAGAGGCTTGCACCAAGTGCATACATGCCCAAAAATCCCAGGAGAATGAAGGAGAAGGGATTGTGGGGTGGTCATTCCCCATGGTGGTGATTTCTCATTTTCTCTCTCTCTGTCTCTCTAACAAGCATGCACGCCCTATAGCAAAAAATATCTCTTAAAAAAAAAGTCTGAACTGGGGACTAGAGGGTGGCATGACAGGTAAGGTACTGGACTCCCACATAGATGACCATAGTTTGAGTCCTGACCTGGTGGCTTACTTTCTCACTTTCCCTCTCTCTTTCTCTGTCTCTCTCTAGTGAGCACACATGCCCTAGAGCAAATTTTAAAAAGTAACAATAAAATTAAATAAATAATTCATTTTTTTGGAGAGATTTTTTGCTATAAGGCGTGTGCACTTGCCAGAAAGACAGAGAGAGACAGAGAGACGGAAAGTGAAAAATCACCCCCCGGGGGATGACCATGCCACAATCCCTTCTCCTCCTTTCTCCTCTTGGTATCTTGGGCACGCATGCACACACACCTGGAGTGATTTAAGCCGTCAGGTCTGGGATTCAAGCTGCAGTCGACTACATGGGAGTCAAGCAACATAGTCATTACGCCATCTGCTGGTCCCAAGGCAGAAAAATTTTGAAGACACAAAACAAAAGAAAACTGTCAAGTTTATCAGTTGTTTTTAAACCTTAACTACAATTATCAATTACTATGTTTTTTTTCTTTTTCCTTAAGAGAGATTTTTGCTAAAAGGTGCATGCACTAGCAGAGAGAGACAGACACAGAGAGACAGAAAGTGAAAAATCACCCCCCTGGGGAGGATAGCCATGCCACAATCCCCTCTCCACCATGCTCCTCTCAGAATTTTGGGCACACAAGCAAAAGCGCCCAGCCTCAGTTTCAAACTGCCAGATTCAGGACTCGAACTGCAGTCGGCCACGTGAAATCCAGCGACATAACCATTATGCCATCTGCTGGTCCCAAGTTTAGCAGCTGTTTTTTTTTAAAAAAACAAAACAAAACAAAACTGTGCTCACTGTCCAAAGATCCAAACCTTTGGATTTACACCAGCTTCAAGTTATTTCTTTTTATCAACAATAAAGCTGCACTGAGCATCCGTGTGCAGGAAAATGCATTAGGAAAGGAACATTTAAGCCCTTAAGGAAGCTACACTATATGGTCCCTTTCTCTTAAATCCTATTTTTTTCATTTTATTTTATTGTATACATTTAATCACTGTACGTCACCACAGCATAAATACACACGTGCCACTCCAGTTCCTTTAAATCTTATTACTCCCCTCATCCCTCTTACGCCTTCTATCTTCCTTTGCTCTCCACCCTGTCTAGCCTCCCATTCTCCAAGACAGCTGTCTGCCATTAGATACTTGCTTAGCCTGCACTGCTCTGACACAAGCAGCAGCCTTGAGCAACGGTCTTGCAGGTTTCACCCCAAGGTCTCCAAAATAAGTGCTCAATCCTCTTTTCTGGATTCGTCTGCCAAGATCAGTCCCAGCAGGAGTGGAGTTCTCTGCATTCCTCCATTTGGTGCTCTCACTCAAGTCTAAGTGGCTCTAAAACCCCACATCCATGCCTGTCCTCTCTCTGCAGGCACATCTAGGAGTCCAGCCAGCATTTCAACTGACAGGTCTATGACTGAATTCTACTCTTTTTTTTTTTCCTCTGGTAGAAGCACCTAAACAAAAATAGTCCCATCACCACCCACTACTTACTTTGATTCCCCCACCCCAACAGCTCCCTACTGCTCTGCTGATAACCACTTAGTCAACACCAGAATCATTTTTTTCTTCAAAATACACCCCATATCCCTTCCTTCTTTTTTTTCTTTTGGCCAGAAAACACATGTGCTTACCAGAGAGACAGAAGGACAGACAGGGAGAGGGAGAAAGCAGCCCCAACACATACACCCCAGAAATGATCAAGCCACATACCTTCTCCATTTCCCCTCTGGGAATTTTGGGCATGCACACATGTGTACCTGGCATATTTCTAAAGCTGTGGGTCTGGAACTCACACCACAGGGTCAGCCATGTGGGACCTGGCTGCCTTAACCACCAGGCCACCGAACTGACCCATCAGTCCACACTTTAAGACCTAACTCAAAAGCCACCTTTTGCAGACCAGCAGATAGCATGGTGGTAAAGACTCTGGACTCCATCATGGCTGACTGTGGGTCAAGTCCCAGACCTAGTGGCTTGCTTTCTCACTTTCTGTCTCTCTCCCTCTGGTGAACACACGTGACCTAACCAAAGCTGAATAATAATAATAAAGTAATATTTTAGAAAGTCACCCTTATACCTCTTCTGAACACTTCACAGCACTGTGGTTATGGTGCAGCAAATGAGAGTACCTACCCACAAACTACCCTTGTATTTCAGTCACTGCAGTACATTTTGCCTTTCAAACGATGAACTGGATTCATGAATAGAAGGATCCTGCCTTATCTACATCTGCATGGCAGCTGTGCAAATACTTAATGCACTAACCTTACAGCTGTGCTCTTTGCTAACAGCTAGAAAGAACCTAGATGTCCACCAACAGAGGCCAATCCACCTACACAATGCACTCTGCATATAAAATCACTCAAAATTATGTAGACGTGTACTTACAAGATCACAGTGCTCTACTGACACAGCAGTAGTAATTTTTACTTCCACTGAAAACAGCCCATTAAGAACAGTGGGAAAACTATTCCAAAATGACAAGAAATGTAGAGATGATTGACGGCATATGAATATGGAGAAAGAAATTGCAGGAAAGAGAACAGGGCACAGTAAGCATGGAAGATACAGTATCTGGACTGCTAATAAGCAAGAATTAGAAAACTTCATAAAAGATGGGCCAGTAGGTGGCATAGTGGTTAAAGTGTTAGACTACCACATAGATGACCATGGTTCGAATCCCAGACCTAGTAGCTTGCTTTCTCACTCTCATTCTGGTAAGTTCACAGGCCTTATAGCAACTTTTTAAAAAAATAATAATTTAGAATTAAGAATTAATAAAATTCTTAAAATAAAACTCTTAAAAGGAAGAGTATAGTTGAAATGAGAAAAAATTGAAAATAGAAATAGATTAAAAACAATCGCTTCTTACCATAATAAACAAGGCTACTTACCTGATTATTCTCAATTTCCCAGTGAATCACTTGATTGTCAGATCCTCCAGAAACTAATTCAGTAGAAGGAGCTGAAAAAAATGGTATCTCAGTAAATATTTTAATTTTTTTCTGAGCTACTTAAAAAAGTTTCAAAGTTATAAAAAGTAGGTAAGAATACCCCTGTATCCTTCACTTATATTCACAACTGTTAACATTTTGCCATAGTTGCTTAAGATCACCTTTTCTATGTATATATGTATAAACAATTTTTTATGTGGCAGACTATTTAAAAACAACTGGCAAGGGCCAGCAGGTGGCATGGTGGTTGGGGGCACTGGACTCCAACATGGTCAACCACAGTTCGAGTCCCAAACCTGGTGACTTGCTTTCTTACACCACCACCACCCCACCCCCCCGTCCTTCCCTGGTTAAAATAAATTAAATTTAAACAGATAAATAAATAAAGTTATATAAAATAATTCTTTAAAAAAAAATTGCAGAGACCAGCAGGTGGCATAATGGTTGTAATGGTTATGTTGTTGGGCTCCCATGTAGTTCAACTATGATTCCAGTCCCAGTGGCTTAAAACTCAGGCCGGGGACTGACAGGTAGCATGGTGGTTAAGGGTGCTGGACGCCCACAGAGCCAACCATGGTTCGAGTCCTGGACCTGGCAGCTTGCTTTCTCACTTTCCCTCTCTCTCTCACTCTGTACCTCTTGAGTCAAATTAAAATAGATGAATAAACAAAGTTAAATAAAATAATTCTTAAAGCACACACATACACACACACAAAACCTTAGGCTGGGCTCATGTGTGTGCATGCCCCAGATCATAAAAGAGAATGGACTGTGGTGTGGCAATCCCCTCAGGGGGTGATTTCTCATTTTCTATCTCTCTGTATCTCTCTAGTGAGCCCATGTGCCCTACAGCAAAATCTCTTAAAAATAAATAAATAAAAACAACTTGCAGACATTGTAACTACTGACCCTCAGACTTTACTATGTATCTCCTAAGAAATGAAACATTCACCTACATTGCCACAATGTAACCATTACATTCAAGAATTTTTTTGGGGTAGGAAATTTTGCTATAGGGCAAGTGCACTCTCCTGAGAGACAGAGAAAGACAGAAAACGAGAAATCACCCTCCGGGGGATAGTCACACTGCAATCCCTTCTCCTCCATTCTCCTCTCGGGATCTTGGGCACGTACACACACAAGCCCAGTGTGAATTTAAGCCACCGGGTCTGGGACTCAAACTACCGTCGACTACATGGGAGTAGAGTGACATAGCCATTACGCCAACTGGTGGTGCCTACATTCAAGAATTTTAACATTTGGTACATTATTATATAATATACAGTCCAGATAGAAATTTCACAAATTGTCCCAGCAACATCTTTTATGACATTTTTTATGATCTAAGGATCGTATATTGCACATCTGATTGTCACATCTTTTTAGTCTCCTTTAATCTAGAATAGTTTCCCAGTCTCCTCTTTTTGTCACAATGATAACCAAGGCCAGTTTTTAAAAATATTTCTTATTTATTAATTTTAATTATTATTTATACATTTAATTGCTATACATCATTTAGATTGTAAAGAGACTTTAGCCAGCATGACACACACCTCAGTTCAGCCCAGTTGAAAACATACTCATCCCAGGCCAGTTTTTTGCAGTATGTCCTTTAATCTGTATTGGTGTGATTGTTTCCTCATGATTAGATTCAAGCTAAATGCTTCTTACAGGAATGTCACTATATGACATGCTACAGTGAGGTGTTGCTAGCGGGTACACGACTTTCTTTTGAGACCAGACACATCAAAACAGCTCTTTAACCTGTTCTTTTGAAATATTTTTGCTATAGGGTGCCTATGTCACCATAAAAACAGAAAGCAAGCAATCCCCCACCCAGGAGGATGGCCTCACAGCAGTTAGCATCTACAACCCAGCTCCCAGTGCACAGTGTTTAACCACTGCACTTCAAGATTAGCCCCTTTTTAATGACTGTATTGACCTAACATGTGACTAATCCTGCATTACAACTGAAATAAGTAGCCTATTAAACTTTTTAAAAGAATTATTTAATTTTATCATTATTATTATTAATTTTCTACAGGGCACGTGTGCTCACCAGAGAGATGAGAAAGAGAAAGAGAACACAAGCCACCAGGTCCAGGAATTAAAACACGGTTGACCATGTAGGAATCTAGCACCTTAATGACCACACCACCTGCTGGCTCCTAAACATTTTTTTTTTTAATGTCTCAGATAACATCAGAATCAAGTCTCACTAATTCCAGAAATTATGCATTTATGCCTGATTCCGAATTCTCTGAATAAATGGTTGTAGAATGAAAAAGAAAATTAATTCAGAATGCATATCAATACTTTAGTAAGTATATTTAAGATACTTAATGAAGGTGCCCCCCCCTCCGGTGGGGGCCCCCGCGGCCCGGGGGCTCATGCCCCCTGCGCAGCCCGGCGCCCCGCTCCTGCCCAGCATCCCTGGCAGGCCGTAAACAAGGTTGAAGAGCTTGCAACTTGAGAAGATGACGGTTACCAGCCCTGCATTACCTCAGGGGAAAACAAGAACTACTCTGCCATTCTTAAGGAAGCCAGATACCCAAGGACAACTCACACTGCAGAGGCCCACAACATCATTCCTGGTAACTACAAGATGACTGCTGTGTCGCATCAGCTGATAATCATCCCTGCGTACCAGAACTGCTTTCCTGAAACTGCATTCCCTGGAGACTCACCTACAATTGTGGATCTGCAGGAGACCCTCCCTTAATCCAACCCTGAATAGAATCTATGCTCCCTATTGTCAAAAACTTTA